TTATGCATTCCATTTCATTTTTCACAAATTCCAATTTTCCTAAATTCATACATCATATATTCCCATGTTCTGATTATTAATAGATGTTTTCAGGTATTTTGCCTCATATTGAGTTTTGACCCATCAGGAAATGAAGGGCCCAAAACCTATTCCATTCACGTCAGCATGGTCAACTCTACTTTGTGGAGTCACCTTTTACTCTGCTGTATTTTGAGTGTCTTCAAACTTCATCTTCCGACACTATAGCTGAAAATATTCTATTGCTATTCATAATGTTTACATCTTCCAGTACTATATCTGTCAATGTTCGGCTGTTTATTCATAAAGTTTTCAGTGGATAACCATTCAGAAGTACTCTGCCCCTCCTGCTTCTTAGTTTGTCTTTGTCTATAAGCTCTGCTGAAACATGTCTACCATAGGTGACCCTACTGGTATTTAAAATACAGGTGGCGTAGCTTCCAGCATCACAGCAACATGGAAGTCACCACAGTACAACAAACTGACAGACTTTGTTGTTGTTGTTAGGTGCTACTGTGTCAGTTCCCACCCATAGTGACCCTACATAGAACAGAATGAAACATCGCTTAGTCCTGCACCATCTTCACAATTGCTGCCACACTTGAGCCTGTTGTTGCCATTGTGCCATTCTATCTTATTGGGATCTCCTTTTTTGCTGTCCCTTCACTTTACCAAGCATGATATCCTTCTCCAGTGACTGGTCCTTCCTGATCATATGCCCAAAGTATGAGAGACGAAGTCTGACCACCTTGGCTTCTAAGAAGCCTTGTGATTATACATCTTCCAACACAGATTTGTTTCTTTTTCAGGCAGTTCATGTTACCATCAATATTTTTCTCCAACAACACAACACAAATGCATCAATTTTTCTATGGGCTTCTTTATTCATTGTTCAACTACCACATGCATATGAGGCTACTTACTGAAAATATGATGGCTTGGATCAATCACACCTTAGTCCTTAAACTGACATCCTTGCTCTTCAACACTTTAGAGAGGTCTTGTACAGCAGATTTACTTAGTACAGTACTTCATCTGATTTCTTGACTACTGCTTCTTTGAGTGTTGAAGGTTGATACAAACAAAATGAAGTCATTGACAACTTCAATCACTTCTCCATTTATCATGATGTTATTTATTGATCCAGTAGTAAGGATTTTTGTTTTCTTTACTTTGAGGTGCAACCCATATGAAAGGCTGTGCTCTTTGATCTTTATCAATAACTATTTCAAGTCTTCTTCACTTCCAGCAGGCAAGGTTGCATCATCTGCATTTCATAGGTTGTTAATGAATCTTCTTCTAATCCTAATACCACAATCATCTTCATATAATCCAGTTTCTCAAATTATTTGTTCAGCATAGAGATTGAATAAGTGTGGTTAAAGAGTACAACCCCGTCACACACCTTTCCTGACTTTCAACATCCCCCTTGTTCTGTTTGAACAACTGCTTCTTGGTCTATAAACAGGTTTCCTCACGAACACAGCTACGGGTTCTGGAATATTCATTCTCTGCAGTGTTGTCCCTGTGCTTTATTGACTACACACAGGCTTTAAATTGGGTGGATCATGACAAGTTATTGGCAACATTGTGAAATGTGAGTATTCTGGAACACTTAATTGTGCTCATGAGGAATCTGTACCTGGACCAAGAAGCAATTGTTCAAACAGAACATGGGAACTCTGAATGGTTTAAAATTAAGAAAAGTGTGCGACAAGGTTGTATTTTTTCACCATACTTTTTCAACCTGTATGCTGAACAAATAATCCAAAAAGCTGGGTTCTATGAAGAAAAATGTGGCATCAGGATTGGAGGCAGACTCACTGACAACCTGCAATATGCAGATGATACAACCTTGCTTGCTGAAAGGGAAGAGGCCTTGCTTGCTGAAAGGGAAGAGGACTTAAAACATTTACTGATGAAGATCAAAGAGCACAGCCTTTGGTATGGATTACATCTCAATGTAAAGAAAACAAAAATCCTCACCACTGGACCAATAAACAACATTTTATCAAAGGAGAAAAGATTGAAGTTATCAAGGACTTCATTCTTCTTGGATCAACTATCAATACTCATGGAAGCAACAGTCAAGAAATCAAACAACGTATTACATTTGGCAAATCTGCTGTACAAGAACTTTTTAAAGTCTTGAAGAGCAAAGATGTCAGCTTGAGGACTAAGGTTCACCTGACCCAAGCCATGATATTTTCAATAACCTCATATGCATGTGAAAACTGGACAGTGAATAAGGAAGACCATAGAAGAATTGATGCTTTTGAGTTATGATGTTGGAGGAGAATATTGAAAGTGTCATGGGCTGCCAAAAGAACAGAAGGATATAATGTTTAGTAAGGTCAGAGAAAAAGAGGAAGACCCCCAACGAGATGGATTGGCCAAGTGGCAACACTGATGGACGGAAGCATGGCAACAGTAGTGAGGTTGGCCCAGGATCAGGCAGTGTTTCATTCTGCTGTGCATAAGGTCGCTATGAGTCAGTACCAACTTGATGACACCTAACAACAAAAAAAACAGTGTTGTCCATAGCTTGTCATAATCCACACAATCTAAAGCCTTTGCATAGTCAATAAAGCACAGGTAAACATCTCTCTGGCATTCTCTGCTTTCAGCCAAGATCCATCTGATGTCAGCAATATTATCCCTCATTCCATGTCCTCCTCTGACTCTGGCTTGAACTACTGTCAATGTGTTATTACAGTTGTTTTTGAATTATATTAATTATTTTAGCAAAATTTTATTTGCATGTGATATTAATGGCATTTTCTGTTGGTTTCTGCATTGTGTTCAGTCACCTCTCTTTGAAATTGGCACAAATATGGATTTGTTCCAATCAGTTGGCCAGGTAGCTATCTTCTAAAATTCTTGGCGTAGATTATTGAGTGCTTCCAGTGCTACATCAGTTTGTTGAAATATTTCTATTTGTATTCCATCAATTCCTGGAGCTTTGTTCTTTGCCAGTGCTTTCATTGAACCTTGGACTTCTTCCTTCAGTATCATTGGTTCTTGATCATCTGCTACCTCTTGAAATGGTTTAACATTAACAATTTTTTTTGGTATAGTTATTCTGTGTATTCCTTCCATTTTCTTTTGATTCTGTCTGCAGAATTCAATATTTTTGCAATTGAATTCCTTAACTATTGCAAATCATGGCTTGGATTTTTTTCTTCAGCTGTTTTAGCCTGAGAAATGCTGAATGTGTTCTTTCCTTTTGGTTTTCTAACTCCAGGTCTTTATACATTTTACTATAACACTTGACTTTTTCTCCTGAGATGCCTTTTGAAATTTTCTGTTCAGCTTTTCACCTCCTCATTTCTTCCATTTGCTTTAGCATCTCTATGCTGGAAAGCAAGTTTCAGAGTCTTTTCTGACATCCATTTTGCTTTTTTGCCTTTTTCTTGTCTTTTGAATGAACTTTTGCTTTCCTCCTCCATGATGGGCTTCATGTCATCCCACAACTCTTCTGGTGTTTGTTCATTAGTGTCTAATGCATCAAATTTATTATTGAGATGTTCTTTAAATTCAGGTGGGATATGTTAAAGGTCATATTTTTGCTCTCATGGATTTGTTTTAATTTTCTTTAGCTTTAGCCAGAACTTGCATATTAGCAATTGACTATCTGTTCCACAGTTTGCCCTGGCCTTGTTTTGGATGATGATATGAAGCTTTTCAGCAGTCTCTTTCCACAGATGAAGTCAGTTTAATTTTTGTGTTTTCCATTTGGTGAGGGCCATGTGTATAATCATTTTTTATGTTGTTAAAAAAAAGGTATTTACAATGAAGAAGTCATTTGTCTCAAAAAATTCTTTCAATAAGACTTTGTTTTCCAACATTGATCCTTTCTCTTTATTCCAACCTTTGTATTACAATCATCAGTAGTGTTGATTGCATGTTTGATCAATTTCTGAATGAAGAAGTTAGTAGGATTCTCCAATTTCTTTATCACTGACTTTAGATAAAGTTTGTTGCATAAATTTGAACATTAGTAGTATTAACTTATCTTCCTTAAGTATATGCATATTATCCTATCACAGACAGCATTGTATTTCAAGATAATTCTTTAAATGTTCTTTTTGATGATAAATATGATGCCATTCCTCTTCAACTTGTCAGATTTGGCATAGTAAACCATGTGGTTGTCAGCTTCAAAATGGCCAATACTCGTCCATTTCAGCTCATGAATGATATCTAGGATATCTATCTTTATGCATTCCATTTCAATTTTGACAACTTCCCATTTTCCTAGATTCATACTCCCTACATTCCATGTTCCCATTACTAATTGATGTTTATAGCTGTTTTTCTTCATTTTGAGCTGTGCCCCATCAGCAAATGAAGATCTTGAAAGCTTTACATCATTGGTATCATCATAGTCAACTCTACTTTGAGGATGTAACTCTTTCCATGTTGTATTTTGAGTGCCTTCCAACCTGAGGGGTCCCATCCTCTAGCACTATATCTGACAGTATTCTGGGGCTCTTCATTATGTTTCAGTATTGAATAATCTGGTGCCATATGACATTGTTTCATCTCTTTTCATAAGGTGAAAAATGGAATTGAAACTTTTTGAAGCCCTTTCGTGTATATTTTTACAACAATCAAAGAATGGAAGTGATAAAGGAATTGTCCCTTTTTACCTCCTCTCCTGTTTATAATTTTATAAGATTTTGACCTTACAAGATACTAGTACACATCATTTTTTATAAAGTTTTTATTGTGAATTATATGATCGTTTACATGGGAGAACATTAGCTTTACATTCATCCTATCATTTTTTGTTTCATTGCAATGATTACAATCCCCTTCATGCATCATCAAACAACCAAAGGGTACACCCTGCAAGCCTGCCCACCCTACACATCATTTTTGAAAAATGTGCAGTAAAGATACACCAAGCCTTTTTCCTTGCCAACAGGAAAAAGAAACCTCTGCAGAAAACCTCACATGTACATATTATCATTTAATAGAAAAGATGACTCCACAAGCTGGGTGTTCTGCAGCTGAGATTCCAGCCCAGGAAGAAGAGCTACAGGTGAGGAGAATGATGGCAAAGCGGTCAAAAATCATCAAGGAGCTGATACAGACAGAAAAGGACTATCTCCATGATCTAGAGCTGTGCCTTCAGGAAGTGGTTCGTCCTCTGAGAAATAAACAGGTAATCAAACCAAACAATTGGGTTCCCATCCCTCAATATTATTATTTTTTAATTCTGTCAGATTCTAAATAGGATCACCAGGATAATGAAATTGAAGCACCTTCAAATGTCAGTTGTTGCATCTGCTGAAATGAATGAATGCTTTTCTCCCTGAGCCTCTGGACTTGGGTTCTACACAGGCATCATCAGTCTCATCCTTCTTTTGTCAGCAGAGGGAAATCCAGAAACTCTCTATTTGACCAAAGAAATAGTACTAAAAAATAGGAGAGAGAGGAAATTTGCAGTTTTTGCCACTTTGAAATGTCTATGTGTTCTTTCTTGGATTCCCATTAACTAGTAACAAATTTTGGGCAACAGATTTTCAGCAACCTAGGAACAGGTATTTCATTTGATTCAGTGATGATCTAAGACTGAGAAGAGAAAACTGTAAAGATTTCTTTTCCACATGGAGAGTATAATTAAACTTATGACTAGTTAAGTGAAATTTAACATAGAAATTAACTTGAGTATAAAGTAAAAAAATTTTTTGGGGGTAGGAGAAATTATTTTAAGGTATTGCCCTCCCTTTTTTCAAGGACTTTTCAGTAAATTTCTTTTAGGGAGTTAGAATAAAAGAGCAAGCATGTTTTCATTCTATTGTTGTTGTTGTTAAGTGCTGTTAAGTCAGTTCTGACTCACAGTGACTCTGTAAGGTTTCCAAGAAGTGGCTGGTGGGTTTGGATCACAAATCTTGTGGTTAGCAGTCCTGTGCTGTATTAGGTTCTGATATATATGAGTGTAACCTGGGTCCTGCTTCTAATTCAGATTAACCTCTCTACTTGTGCAGTGGATTCCATCCTCTCTGACTCCTTGCTTTCACTGCTACCATTGTCCCCTCTCTCTCCTGCATAATTAATTTCACCTCTTTTATTGGACCATTATCTTCTATCTTAAAAAATATAACAAAAACAATATTCTCCTATCTTAGTTTCTAAGCACTGCTGTAACAACCACCACGAAGTGGTAACTTCAAGAACAGAAATTTATGGAGGCTAAAAGTCCTGGTGTGATGCTATAAGATAAGCACTGGACTACTAACTGTAAGGTCGGTGGTTCAAACCCACCAGCCGCTCCTCAGAAACCCTATACAGAGTCATTTTGAGTCAGAGCCTACTCAATGGCACTTAACAACAACAATAGCTAGTTCAAATCAGGGCATCACTCGCTAGAGGAAGGTCCTTGTTTTTCTCAGTTTTTAGTAGATGTTCTTTGGAGCTGTAGGATAGGCATTGAACTGCTAACCAAGGTTGGCAGATCATACCTACCAACCACTCCTTGGAAAGTCTATTTAGAATTGCTATGAATTAGCACTGACTCAACCACACTTAACAACAGTCTTTTATTTTCTTGGGTAGTAGATGCATCTTTCTTTACTGTCTCATGTTGTCCGTCTTCCCCTGTATGTGGCTTTGTCTGTACTCCCCTTTATAAGACATAGTTTATGAGGGATTAGGTGTAGGACAGTGGTCCTACCATGGTATAACCCCATTTAACCCAACTGATGACAATGACAAACTCTATTTCCCAAACAAGGTCACATTCATAAGTATAGGTATAGAGATCTCAGTGTATCCTTTTTGGGCACACAATTCAATCTTAACATAGCCTTTTACACTAAAGGAGTTGTCTATATTCCAGACTTTGTTTATATTTTTCTCTTTCTGAATTAAATATGAAATATTTAATATATATATATATGAACTTATCGGTGACTGAAACATTTCAAAAAGTATGCCCATGATTTTCTGATATCTACATTTATGATGAGTTTATGATCAACATAAAAAGACTAAATATGTAATAAAATTCCCTCTTTTGAGTTCATAATTCATAGCTGTACCAAATGGAATAAGAAGTTTATCAAATATGAAAATGTTAATTGTAAATCATTTATTATACTGGCAAATTAACCTGGTCACATTGCTATAAATGCTATCATTGTGCTATACTCTGGAATATTGTCTTTTTTTTTTTTTTTTCTAATTGTGACTTAGGTGAAAGTATGCAGAGCAAATGAGTTTTCCATTCAACGGTTGATATACATTTTGTTGCATGACATTAGTTCCAATTCCCTCAATATAACAGTGGTAAACTTTCCACTTCATACCTGTGTTGCACTTTTCCATTCATTCTAATTTCCTGCCTCTTCCTGCCTTCTGAGCTTTGTTCTTGGGCTTCCCTTTGGTCCTCCTTTGGTTGTTCACTCTAAGGAGCACATTCCTCATGGGTATTATTGTTCTCTTTATAGGTTTATTTGGCTGGAAGGTGTTTTCTGGGTGTGGGTTCAATTCCAGGTTCTCCGAGATTGAAAGACTGTCTAAGGGTCATATTCTCAGGGGTTCTGCCCACCTCTATCAGACCAGTACATCTGGTCTTTTTAAGAATTTGAATTTGTTTTTATACTTTTCTCCCATTCTCTCCAGGACTTTCTGTAATCCTGATCAGAGTCATTCCTTTGGACTAATTTTTTCTTTGAGTCTTCTTTTTTTATTTCATTCTTTTCTTAGGAAATACTTGCATCTTCAGTGGATGCTTTATAGCTTGTAAGATCACCACAGTAGGATGTATAGCATTGTCTTTGTGACCTATGTTATGCCAAATGTCTCCCCAAACTGTGATCCTACACCCTGAGCCCAATGGCGCATCTCCTCAAGGTGTTTGGTTATGGCTAAGAAATTCTTATATTATTGTCCCCCTGTTTGCTCTACATGGGTATATTAATAGCACATACCAATATGTGTGTAGAAATATTCTTTGTCAAACCTATATATGGCCATGGTTTTAGTCCCATTCACCCACACATACATGTTCAATTTGCATGTCTGCCTATGTATCCACTTGTAGATAATTTGTTCTTATTGATATTTCAGGATTGCATATATAATAGTAGTTGCCTTTGTGTTTGTAATGCTTGTATAATTCTAAGTGTCTTCCTTTGTCTTACTGATATTGTTATAATTTTTGTTTGTTTGCATCTTTATTTTTTTCTGTATTTTGTGTTTTGTTTCCATAAAAACTTCACAAGCAATCTTTAGAAATTGGTGTCTCAGATCAAGGAAAATTAAAATATTTAAAAAAAAATCTTTATAGTTAGTGTAAGGCCCCTTTGTGGTATAAGCAGCTTACATTTGACTACTTAACCTAAAGGTTGGTGGATAGAACCCCCATGGAAAAAAAAACCCCTAGCAATATGCTTCTTTAAAGATTATGCTTCTTTAAAGTCAGAAACATCTAGAAAGTAGTTCTACTCTGTAACACATAAGGGCTTAGCGTCATTAGAGTCACAATGGACTCAGTTATAACACTATAAGCATTAGACACTAATGACTAAAAACTGGAAGAGTTGTAGGATGGCATTAAGAACATAATACAGGAAGAAAGCAAAATGTCATTAAGAAGATAAGGAAGAAAGAAAAGACCAAAATGAAATGTCAGAAGAGACTCTGAACCTTCCTCTCCAGCTTTGAGATGCTAAAGCAAATGGAAGAAATGAGGAGGAAAAAGAGCTGAACAGAAGACAATGTCAAATATTATAATGAAATGTACAAAGATCTAGTATTAGGAAACCAAAAGGGAAGAATATGTTCAGCATTTCTCAAGTTGAAAGAACTGAGGAAAAATTCAAGCCTCGCCTTGTAATACTAAATGATTCTTTGAGTAAAATATTGAATGAGGCAGAAAGCACCAAAAGAAGATGGAAAGAATACATAAAGTCATGGTACAAAAAATTAATCGATATTCAACCACTTCAAGAGGTAGCATATGATCAACAGCCAGTGCTACTGAAGGAAGAAGTCCATTGTGCACTGAAGGCACTGGCAAAGAACAGGCTCCATGAATTGATGGAATACATATTAAAAATTTTCAACAAACTGATGCATTACTGGAGACCCTCACTCATGTATGCCAGGAAATTTGGAAGACAGCTACTTGTTCAACTAATTGGAAGAGATCTATATTTTGCCCATTCCAAGGAGAGGTAAGCCAATGGGATGCAGAAACCATCATACAATATCATCAAAATCATATGCAACTAACATTTTGGTAAAGATAATTTAAAAACAACTGTACCAGTACACTGACAGTGAAGTGCCAGAGGTTCAAGCCAGATTCAGATGAGGACGTGGGATGATGGATATCATTGCTGATGTTAGCTAGATCTTGGATGAAAGCAGAGAATACCAGAAAGATGTTTACCTGTTCTTTATTGACTATATATATGCAAAGGATTTCGACTGTGTGGATCATGACAAGCTATAGACCATATTGTAGAAAATAAGTATTCCGGAACACTTAATTGTGCTCATGAGGAACCTGTACATAGACCAAGAAGCAGGCATTCAAATAGAGCAAGGGGACCCTGAGTAGTTTAAAATCAGGAAAGGTGTGTGCCAGGGTTGTATTCTTTCATAATATTTATTAAGTATGATGAGCAAATAATCAGAGAAGCTAGATTATGTGAAGAAGAATGTAGCATTAGGATTGGAGGAGGACTCATTAACAACCTGTAGTATGCAGATAATACAACCTTGCTTGATGAAAGCAAACAGGACTTGAAATATTTACTGATCAGGATCAAAGACCACATCCTTCAGGAAAGGTTGCACGACAATGTCAATAAAACAAAAATGCTCACCAGTGTTCCAATAAATAACATCATGATGAATGGAAAAACCATTGAAGTTGTCAAAGACTTCATTTTGCTTAGATCTATCGTCAACACTCATGGAAGCAGCAATAAAGAAGTCAAAGGACATATTACATTAGACAAATCTGCTGCACAAGACCTCTTTAAAATGTTCAAGAGCAAAGATGTCAGTTTGCACACTAAATTATCCCTTACCCAAGCCATGGTACTTCAACAGTCTCATATACATGTGAAAGTATATGAGACTTGAATAAGACTAAGAGACCTAGAAGAATTGATTCATTTGAGTTATGGTATTGGAGAATATTAAAGG